ACACCTCTGGATCCAGTGTGATGAAGATGTGGACATGCTTTGTCCATGGTAAACTGCCACACCATAGATTGCCATAGTGTTTTGCAAGCACAAGGCAAGTGTTCACAAATGCTTCTCGAAAGGGTAAATGATGACGATCTTCTGAAAAACATCAAAGACAAAGGTTAAAAAAAAAAGAAAAAAAAATCAGTCGATTGTCTCCATGAAGTTTCCCTGGCTGTTGTCCCAGCAGCGCCTGTGGAGGCTGATCTAGAACCAGCTCTCCAGGACAGTGTAGAGGTCTGCATTAGGTGGCAGCACTTGGCCCTCCTCACTGTTATTTGAGAGTCCTGGTGTGGCACTGTAGCATCCACACAGGCCTACTAACCTCAAGCTCGGTCAGACCCTGTACAGGGTCACTATGATTTTCTCAACATCTCTCCCACTTTATTATGAGCTGCTTAAGGGAACTAGGCATGCTTTTATATATAATTATTATTTTTTACCTTTGTATCCCTATGGAGTCCTGGTGTGGCGCTGTAGGCCAATGTGTCAGATTGCAAAGTCATCAATGGTTCAAGCTCACCAGCTGCTCCTTGGAAACCCTATACAGGTTTGCTATGGGTCAGAATTGACTCGACAGCATTTAACAACAACAGCTACCTTTGTATCTCTAGACCCGGGCACATGGCTTGGCTCATACACAACTTGTAATGTAGAGTTGTAGACTGGAGATTTGGAGAAAGGAATGCTGGAGGGACATTGGAGGGTCATTGTCTTGGGACCTTTGGTCCGGCTCAGCCATCTTCATCATACACAAAGTGGAGTTGTGTGACTGTCCCTTGCTTTTTCTCCTAGTCTCTCTGGACGCATGGCAGCCTCTGACCCCCTCATCAGTCACTGTGGATCCCTCCATCCGACACTTCGATGTTGCCCACATCAGCAACGCTGCAGCCGGCGATTTCTCTGCTGCCCGAGACCTCTGTTTGTTGGGTAAGAGGCATTTCCTGTTCTTGGAAGGGTGACTGACACAGGACCTTATACAAGTGCCATTCACGATTCTGACCTCAGGAACTCCTGTGAGAGCCCAGGAGAGCCTGGGATGCCTGGCAGGAAGGAGTTCACCAGGGGGATGGATCCCGGGAGTGGTCTCCTCTGCAGTTAGCAGTCCCTAGGGCTTTTCTAGGGTCAGGGTCTCCAAGGAGATAAGCCAGTCAGCAGAGAGGGGACATTGATCCAGGCCAGAGGGTGATTACAGGAAGGACCTTAGGGAGTTGGTCTGAGACAGGAATGTGTGGAAGCCCTCAGATAACAGATGGGCTGTCATGGGGAAGGAGAATGACACTTGCCTAACTAATGGGACCTGAGGGTAAAACCAGATTTCAGGAAACAGTTTTCACTTGAACCAATTATCCTATAGATCATTCTGTTTACAGATGTGCATGACCTATTGAGGACTTCCTGTCATTGAGGGTGTCTAAACAGAGGCTTGGTGATTACTTGAAAAGAATGTTCTACAGACTTGGCTTCTAGATTCCGAAGGAGGCTGAGTTTAGGCAGAATTTACACTCCTCCCATTCTGAGATTCCATTGTTATTGTTAGGTGCCATCAAGTTGGTACCGACTCATATGGACCTTATGTACAGCAGAACGAAACACTGCCCAATCCTGGGCCAACACCACTAATGTTGCCATGCTTGAGTCCATTGATGCTGCCACTTAGCCAATCCATCTCATTGGGGATTACTCTTTTTCTCTGACCCTCCACCTTACCAAACATGAGATCCTTCTCCAATGACTGATCCCTCCTGACAACATGTCCAAAGCATGAGAGACGAAGTTTGACAGTCTTGGCCTCCAGGGAGCACTGTAGCTGCACTTCTTCCAACACAGATCTGTTGGTTCTATGGGCAGCCTATGGCACTTTCAATATTCTCCTCCAACATCATAACTCAAAAGCATCAATTCTTCTACTGTCTTCCTTATTCGCTGTCCAGCTTTCACATGCATATGAGGTTATTGAAAATACCATGGCTTGGGTCAGGTGCACCTTAGTCCTCAAGCTGACATCTTTGCTCTTCAACACTTTAAAAAGGTCTTGTGCAGCACATTTGCCTAATGCAATATGCCGTTTGATTTCTTGACTGCTGCTTCTGTGAGTGTTGATAGTTGATCCGAGAAGAATGAAGTCCTTGACAACTTCAATCTTTTCTCCATTGATCAGAATGTTGTTTATTGGTCCAGTGGTGAGGATTTTTGTTTTCTTGACATTGAGATGTAATCCATACTGAAGGCTGTGCTCTTTGATCTTCATCAGTAAATGTTTTAAGTCCTCTTCACTTTCATTAAGCAAGGGTGTATCATCTGCATATGGCAGGTTGCTAATGAGTCTTACTCTAATCCTGATGCCACGTTTTTCTTCATAGAACCCAGCCTCTTGGATTATTTGCTCAGCATACAGGTTGAATAAGTATGGTGAAAGAATACAACCTTGTTGTACACCTTTCTTAATTTTAAACCATTCAGTGTTCCCCTGTTCTGTCTGAACAACTGCCTCTTGGTCCAGGTACAGATTCCTCATGAGTATAATTAAGTGTTCCAGAATACTGATACTTTGTAATGTTGTCCATAGCTTGTCATGATCCACACAATCGAACGCCTTTGTGTAGTCAGTAATATCTTTCTGATAGTCTCTGTTTGCAGCCAAGATCCATCAGACATCAGCAATGATATCCCTTGTTTCATGGCCTCTTCTGAATCTGGCTTGAACCTCTGGAAGTTCTCTCTCTGTCAGTCTATGCTTGCAGCTGTTTCTGTATTACTTCCAGTAAAACTTTATTCGCATGGGATATCAAAGAGTTTGTCCAATGATTTCCACATTCTGTTGGGTCACCTCTCCTTGGAATGGAAACAAATACGGGTCTCTTCCAGTCACTCGGCCAGATAGTTGCCTTTCAAATTTCTTGGTAGAGATGAGTGAGTGCCTCCTGTGCCACCTCACTTTCTTGAAAGAGTCCAGTTTTTATTCCATCAATTCCTGGACATTTGGTCTTTGCCAATTCCTTCAATGCACCTTGGACTTCCTCCTTCAGTATCATTGACTCTGGATCATATGCTACTTCTTGAAATGGTTGAACATTAACCATTTCCTTTTGGTACAATGACTCTATGTATTCCTTCCATCTTTTCTATGCATTCTGCATCATTCAATAATTTGCCCAGAGAATCTTTCAATATTGAAAGTCGAGGCTTGACTTTTTTCTTCAGTTCCCCCAGCTTGAGAAATGCTGAGCATGTTCTTCCTTTTTGGTTTTCTGATTCCAGATCTTTTCACATTTTGTGGTAATATTTGTCCTTATCTTCTTGAGCTGATCTTTGAAATTTCCTGTTCATCTCTTTTACCTCCTCATTTCTTCCATTTGCTTTAGCATCTCTACACTGGAGAGCAAGTTTCAGTGTTCCTTTTGGCATCCATTTTGACCTTTTCCTTCTTTCTTGTCTTCTCAATGACATTTTGCTTTCTTCGTGTATGATGTTCTTGATGTCATCCCACAACTCTTCTGGTCTTCGGTCTTCAGAGATTCCATTAGTTTTCTCTTTTACAAAGTTGTGTAAGAACAGGCAAGAATGCACACTTATAGTACAGACAGGGACACCACTGCACAGCTCTGGTTGGCACCATTCACAGATTGTTGTTGTTGTTAAGAAACGGTGAGTCAGTTCTGACTCATAGCAACCCTATATAGTATTGCCTAGGAGCATCTGGTGGGTTTGAACCACCAACTGTGTGTTCTCCGTCCATTGCTGATCCTACAGCACCGCACCATGTGTCCCACAGGTTAGGCATTGCATAACTCGTGCCATCAAATGCAGCATCACTACTTTCAGAGCTGCTCTCAAGACTGGATACCCTGAATGCTATGGATCATTTAACTTGTTTAATGCAGTGCATTGGCTCTGTAGAATAAGCACGGGACTGCAAACTACCAGGCTAGCAGTTCAAACCCAACAGCTGTTCTGTTGGAGAAAGACGAGACGTCCTACTTCCACAAAGATGTACGGCTGCGCAAATCCTCTATAGGATCGCTATGAGTTGGAACCTTCTCGACGGCATCCAATAACAGAAATAACAAGTGTAGTGGCTGGCACACAGGAGAAAGTACTTACAGGGTTCTAAGCAGAGAGAAGATAGAGGGAAATGAGGCTGAAGAGGAAGACAAGGTTGGAATATGGGAAACCTTATCTGATACGAAGTTTGCATGCACTTGAAATCCATAGCAGTGTTTTAAACAGGGAAAGGACAAGGGTATATTTATCCATTAAACAAAATCCAAAGTTGAGTGTGGAAAATAGATTGAGGGGAATATTGAATTCCCTACCACAAGTATTTTATTCCAGCTCCTGGCACAACATCTGGGATGTGTAGTACTCAAAGGAATAAGTGACTGATTGTGTGGATGAGGGGATGGATGTGTGGGTGATGGATGGGTATGGAAGAATGGGTGACTGGATGGGTGGATGACTATGGGTTGTTAGATGGATTAGATGGGTGGGTGGGTGGGTAATTGGAGGGTGGATGGGTAGGTGAATGGATGGGTATGGATAGATGTCTGGATGGACGGATGGATGGATGGATGGATATGGGTGGATGGATAGATGAATACATTGATGGATGGATGGATGGATGGATGGATGCATGGATGGATGGATGCATGGATGGATGGATGCATGGATGCATGGATGCATGGATGGATGGATGGGTGGGTGAACAGATGAGTAGGTGTGTAAATGGATAGATTGGAGAGTGGATAGGTTGGTAGGTGGTTGGATGGAGGCATAGATGGATGTATAGGTAGCTAGATGCATGGATATGCTGATGACAGAGGTGATGTGTTTGGGCTCCAGGTCTCACTCTTCCCCCTTCTTCTCCCCAGAGTGTTCCCGCCATCAGTCCTGCATTGTCACCACCCTGCAGGCCCGGCCTGGGACTGTGCGGTGCCTGTTCTATGCTGATACCCAGAGCTGCACACATAGTCTGCAGAGCCAGAGTTGCCGACTTCTGCTTCGAGAGGAGGCAGCTCACATCTACAGGAAGCTGGGTAAACCTTGGGCCTTTGTGGTCATTCTTGGGACCCTGGGTATGGTGGGAAGGGGCTGTTCAAACATGACTGACTTGACAAAGTGATCCTGGGCTAGGAGGTACTCAGAGCCTCAAGGAAGGTAAGAAAATTCATCTGTTCCTTTGAATTATGAAAGCCAATTTGTTCTTTGAGTTTTGTAGTAAAATAACTCAGCAGGCCACTTTTTGTTACTCTTCTGTGGTTTAGAAGGTTCTTTATTTCTTTTGGTCCTCACACTAATCCTATGAGGTGGCAGGGTAGAGGTTTTATCCCCATTTAACAGATGAAGAGAGTGAGGCCCAGACTCTGATCTCACACAGTCAGCGATGACAGAACAGGGCTTTGGCATTAGATCTCCTATCTCTAATGCAACTCTCACGCATGTGACGCTGTTGCTTGGATACTGCATTTTGGAGAGGGAAGCTGTTCCTTGCTCTGTTTAATTTAACAACACATTTGGTGAGTTGCTATTGTGTTATCAGGACTTGTGTTAGCTGCTGGGGTGTCCCAGCAGAGAAGAAGGCGAGGAGGATTCATGTATCAACTTAAATCCATCACTAAGCAAGATAGACAAGAGCTGTGAACCAGTCAACATTAGAGTTTCAGGATCTACAGGGAATATCACCCCCATTACAAGTATTCCTTGGTTGAAATTAATGACTGTTAAGGTGTTTGCTCCATCTGCCATCTTGTCCCCTAGAGCAAGGACTGGCCAACTATCTCTGTAAAGGACCAGATGAAAACTATGTTAGGCTTTACAGCGTAACAAGCCCATCATTATTACAATGACTCATTATTGCAACATGAAAGCAGCCATGGTCAGCTCTGTATTTGAAATAAAATAAAACTTTATTTACCAAACCAGATTTAACCTTAGAGCCTCGACACTGCTTATCTTAATACTGCTGATGCCCCCTTCTCTGCCCTCTCCTCCCCCTCAGCCTTCAGACCAGGCCAGAGAGGGCTGAAATCTTGAATTTCAATCATAAGTCATATTTTAGACTGGACAGTTATATTATTCAGTCCTGATCAGTTTCAGTGGGACAGTTAACCATCTGGACAGTCTTGTTAGCAATGCTCTAACTTTGGGCTGTGAGTTCTGTAGAATCCATTAGATCATTTCTCCAGTCATTCTGTGTGGCAGGAATTCCATGTGAAATCTGAGCAGCAGATGCGTGCCCACATGTACCTTTGCATAGACTTCATGGGGCGTCCTGGCATGGCACCGTGGGTTAATGTGCTGAACTACAAAGTCAGTTTGAACCGTAAAGCAGTTCTAGCTCACCAGCCGCTGCCTGAAAACCGTATACAGGATTTGTGTGGCATTCCCAAGGACTATGAGTCAGAACCAACCTGACGGCACCTAACAACA